TGCTGTGGTTGGTCAAATCTGGGGATGTTTGGCCTGTAACCAGGAGAACAATTGAAAAGGTAAAAACTTCATTACGCTCAGCATTTTTAAAACAATGAGTGATAGAGTAACAATCTGAAAGGATACACATTCATTGTAAAAATGAAATACTAAATGTAATGTTTACTACCATCTGAATTCAAATACTATGAGGTAATTTAACAAAACATTTTCTTTTGAATGGCCACCCTAAATGTATAATGTAAGAATATACAAAACAATTCCAACTGACCGTGGACCTCTAATGCTGTTGAAGCTTGGTGGCGGAACAATTGGGGGAACTGGGGGTCTGACTCCAGTGTCAGCAAGGCCACTTCCTCTCATAGTGGGTCCAGCAGGTGAATCTGGATGTGTCCCAAAGCCAGTGGGCTGTGAACCTTGAGGCTTTGGTCCACTAGCACCTGGGGACTGCTGCATACCTGGGTTAGCTGACTGCTGCTGCCTTTGCATATCTTGTCCAGGGAACTGGCCAAACTGTCCCATCATTCCACTGTTATACTGGCTTGAGGCGAATGGCACCATGGCAGTAAGAGTGGCCACCCTTTCTTGTAGGTGGGCGTTCGTGGCGTTCATCTGCTCCTGCCATTGTTTCCATTGGTGCTCATAGTCTTGCAATTGGTCTTTGTGGGGATAAGTCTGGAACTGCTCATACCATAAGACGAAGCAGCGATCCCAGTCTTGGAATAAAGGGGTGAACTGCTGCTGTTGCATTTCATAGTGCCTCAGCTGCATTTCAGCAGACATCGACTGCAACAAAGGACATTGAGAGATGATGCTAATATTCATTGTTTTGTTAAAATTACAATGATATTACATGCAAACTGAAAGCGTGTGGGCCATTTAACTACCTGTAGGTTTGAAGGTTGCTGGATCAGCTTTTGATATTGTTCCAAGATCTGCTGGAGCTTTTCGTGTTGTTGCATTAGAGCCTGGTATTGTAAGCCTGCTCTCTGCTGTTGCACCTGCTGCCACTGTGCTGCTGCAGCCTGTAACTGCTGGAGGCGGGCAGCTTCCTCTGGGTCTTTTGGGACTTCAGGCTATAAAGAGAAACAAGGCAATATTAGAGCAAAACATATCTTTGTAACTTACACAGAATATTTTTCAAATAACTCAGTGTAGTTTGTAAAGAAAAAGATGAACATATTTGGAGATGGAGGCACTACTAAGGGCACAAACAAGCATTCAACAAATAAGAAGAAGTCACTCTTTGAGAAGTCGCAATAATATATAAATGTTTTGGCAACACATGGGACAGCTGTTATTAATAGGGAGACACCTATTAATAAAAACACCACCACAATTACATTGGAAAAGACAGATGAATGTGCTTGACACTGTGCACAAGGAAAACTCACAGGATAATTAGGATAAAATGCGGGACGGGTGTTAGTTTTACCAGCACTACGACTCCTAATGATGCTGCTTATCGGTTCTTTTTGTTTATTTTTACCGGTGGAAAACAAAACAAACTGAGAATAGAATTACCATTACTTGAACTCATCTCTCTCACTCTTAAGTATTAATCAAAAAAAGCTGCAGGGCGTTTTCTTTAACTGTATTTTTACTCTGTAGTATAAATAGACTCACTTAAGAACACAGTACCTCTGCCACTGCCAAGATTGGGTTTGAGAACGTATGAGAAGCAAGAAAGAGTTTGTCTGCAGCCCCTTAATGACTCAATCTACACTCCTCTGAGCGCTGAGAACAGAACTGGATTTCTGAATGACACCTCAGAAGATGCTCTGACCATTTCAGATTTAATTCACAAACACACGGCTAGACAACAGGCTGGCTAACAGCTAATTTTAATCATTATTGTTTGTATAATTTAGTAAACTTTGTGTGAGTTGCTAGCATACATAACATACCTGGGGCAGCTATCGATGAACTACGGAGCTAAGCGGTTAGAAACTGGATCTTTCTCGACATACATCTTTGTATGTGTGATGCACTTTTACTAGGTTGATCATGCTTTTGCTATTTTGTGCAAAATAAAAAAACACCTTACAAGCATCGTCTGCATTGGCTCTGGTGAAGTGTGACAACATTTATTAATATTTAATTCTCTCCACCACTCTGTGAAATCTATTTTCTTAATGCTTCCTGTACCAGCAGCAGAACCGATAACATCAGAGCTTACTGAACCTGCAGCGTGGAAAAATTTACCAAGGAGGCATGTTGAATACCAGGTTTTGGTACCCAAGCCGAGATAAAACATCTAGGGACACGATAACAATGGGAGAACAGGTGGTGTGACTTACTGTGTCTGTAAATGTTGGTGACTTTCCTACATGTTCACTCTGTAAATTTATGCAAACAATATGAACAATATTTAGATCCAGCGACAATCTGGACAAACTGAATATGTTGTGTTCTTAAAGGCTGTTGAATCAAGCGCTGCTATTTTAAAATGCTTAATTTAAATGGACACAAGTAAACGGTTAAAACACAGGAGGTATTAACAATGTGTGTATTGTAATTGTTTCTTGAATCAGGTATAGCCGCGGTAATAGGCCAATAAATATTGGCAGATGTACCGAAATATCTGCAGCACCACAAAGTCTCAATTGATCTATACAGCAAACAGTCTTTTTTTTTTTTAAACACAAACCTACCATACAGCCTTTGAGTACACATAAGCTTTGAATATACAAAGAGAAAAGTGATATTACCCACAATGCAACTCACACACCAACAGTTTGGGTGGAGAATCTGGTATGTTATGATTGTAGCAGCTGATGTTGCTGCTGCTTGGATCTTTCTAACTTCCCGCCTGAAGATTTTTTTTTTTAATGCTCAGAAATGTGGTTTTTGGTCCCAACTAACGCGAACTAACAATTTAACAGATTCTGCACAGCTGGTGTAACAAAAAGTTTTGCTCAATCTTTTTGCAGATGTGACTTTAATGTGTGAAATCAATGTGTTCTTCCTTAGCATATACATCGCTCCAGCATTACAGAAATGCGTACCCGTCCTTCTTCAGGCGGTGGAGGGGGCACTGGGGGTTCCTCTTTCGGAGGGGGTGGAGGAGGTGCATTTTTCGGTGGATCTGACGGAAGGGGAGGAGGTACTGTTCGGCCTGCAGAACCATCGCCGTCTTTCTGATTCTGTTTGGCTTTCTCCTGCTTCAGTTTCTGTAGATTCTGAAGATGCTTTTTGTACCAAAGCTGCTGCTGCTCCTGGAACAAGCAATTACAAAATCCCTTGTTTTAGTCGTTTATATGATTTCTTTAACATGACTGATTAATGAAGCACAACACGACTCATGGCTTTTAAAAACTTGGGATGACAAATGCTGAAACGCGGTGGTTTGTATTGACAATTGTTTGCTCTCCCTTTCACAGTGACTGTTTACGACAACTCTGACTGGATTATGTTTTCAATCTTTGTGTTAAATTCTGAATTCTTTGAGCGGTAACTGAATACAAATGAATTTTAAAGAGAACTCAGTAAATAAACCTGCACTAATTTCACTTTTTTTTATTGTAAACTCAACCGAGGCTAAAATTAAAAGCTCTAGTTTGACAATATAACGACCACATCAGACATATACAATACCAGGTTACATGTGATTGAATTATATAACAAGCCTTATTTTTGATAAATATTCTATGACTTTGAGCTTAAGCTTAAAGAATTAACGTTGTATGATGAATTCAAAGACGTAACAAAGATTCACTGGGTGTTACCTGGACTGTCAGGGATCAACTCTAATAATGTGAAAGCGCTGAATATCTACTTTTTTTTTTTTTTTTGCATCCAACCAAAATTGCATCAAGTTTTTTCTCCGATCTGAAAAGACCGGGAATTTCCCATTGATGATTTTTACATTTAATTCATAGGAAAATAGTAATTTTCCACTATCATTGAAGGCGGTCTTGATTTTTGTCTGAAGCATGTGTAATTAGAATCCTGCTTGTTCCAGCTTGCTTTAGCTTAACAACTGCTTATTGAAGACGCGAGGCTGGCATTAGTATGAGCCTCAGACACCTAAACTGAACCTGAATTTTCACAGGTTTATGCCGTGGTGTTTACCGAATAATTTAAAAGTCATGGTACTGCAGCAAATGTACCTGTGTGTGGACGAAAAATCCAAATCTATCCAACAGGGTAATCAGATTCTTGAAAACAACAGCACATAGGGGTAAGTACGGTAAATGAGCAAGGGCTGTTTTGAACATTTGTTTTCCAGTTTGAAGAAAAAGATGCAGAAGTCGGTGCATAAACTGAAGCTTGGTAATCAAGGTTGGCTCAGGAATTATTCTCGAAACGTTTGTAAGCGACCATCTCAAATCCTTCAGTTGAAACCCGACTGGTGATGTTTAAAGAAAGAACAACAGTGATGTGGAAGCTTTTGCATGAGAGAGGTGCTAAAATTCCAAATGAGAGAAATGTTTACTGGACATCATGCAGGCTAGAGGTTATTATTAATAAATATCCACATAGAGGGGATGAATAATTATGCTTATGAGGGTTTTGGAAACGTTTTAGAGTATTTAAGTTAAATTTTTAACAGTAGCATCGACAACATGTTCTCATCAATCAATGTGAAAGAAAAAGACGACAGCGAGGGGGACGATCAATTAAAGTAAAAAGACAGAAAACTATGAACACTGGAAATTGTTTTTACTCTTCCCCACACAGCTAAACCTTTATGTATGATGTGCAACCAAACCAAATACTGTTTCAAGTGAAGGACATTAGTGGCGCTTCCACGCACCTAAAACTCTGTTTTTTAGTGTGTTTCCCAGTACAAGTAACTTGTCATTATGTCCTACCAGTATGGTTTTCTTGGGAAAAATAGGAAAGACCGTAGCTCTAGTTTATATGTTTTCATTCATTCTTATCAACAGCTCTAGAAAACAATTTTATATTCAAATTGGGGTAGTTCTGAACATAAACAGTTTAATACTCCACAGAGCGTATTATTCACTCTCACACCCTTTGGTGAATTGAATATTATTATATATATTATTTTCTTTCCAAAACAGGTGTTTCTCCACTTTTACACCTGTCATGCTCCCCACGGTGATTGTGCACAAGACTACTGTAGTATTTATAGAAGAATAACACATCCACATACAGAGCAGACTCACTTAATAGTAAAAGCTGGAAAGGTTTCATCAAATAACACTAAAAGAAAGCACAGTATGTTTATGTACTTGTAGAAGTTGTTTGAGTTTAATCAGTGATGGCTGCAGGTAGAACAAGAACTGCGGTTCTGTTGCTCAACATTTCTAAAGTGATGTGAGAGGACCAAAACAAACAGACATTACCTGTAAAGGTAAGGACTTCTCGTCCTCTGACGTGGATGACTCGTTCTTGATGGCCTCTTTAGGTTTGGCAGCGCCGTTATTCTCAGGAGGCTTTGCTGACTGGGGCTCTGGAGGAGGAGGAACAGATTTAGGCTCGGCGGAGTGCGGCTGTGGTGGAGGCGGAGGAGGCTGCTGGTGTAGCCCCGGTTTGGGAGCAGGAGGGACTCCACCGGGCTGCGTCTCGTCCTGTTTGTAGTACGACTGAGGACCTGCGCCGCCGTCGAACTGCCCTGATCCCTCTGAATGCCACGATGACCCCGAGAACCCACCTGGGTGTCCGCCGCCGTACGGAGCAGCATTGTTGCCGTGATGTAACACCGACTGGAGCTGCTTCTGGTGCAGCATCTGCAGCTGCTGCATCTGCTGGAGGTGCTGCTCCTGCAGGCTGGAGAACAGCGAGCCGCCGGACGCAGCCTCGAAACTGCCGAACCCGGCAGCAGGCTGCCCGCTGTTACCGGCAGCCGGCTGCTTCCGGGGCCCAGGCCCTCCATAGTTCTGCGACTGAGGTCCGCTGTAGTTTCCCCAGGAGGGGTACATGGCTAAAAACAAAGAGGTGCTCGGCCTTCCTGGTCACATACAGCCGACCGGGGCCGGAGCGGCTAACAAAGCTAACAGCTAACCTGCGCTTAATAAAAACAACAACTACATTTTCATTCCGTCAGTGGGCAACGTTGAATAAAGCTGCAGGTACCACAGAGTTGTATTTGTCCGTTAGAAGAAAATGTTGACGTGTATCCTTGTGGAAATGTGCTACACAACGTTGAAACACTTCGCTCAGTGAATGGATGATGGAGGACCACCGCGCAGCGCTGACGGCGGAAACACGTCACACGTCAGGTGACCAGCACATCCGGTGGCGCGCACACCTTGTTTGTTTGTTAGTTGTTTGTTTGGTTTTTGTTGTGACCATAGACTGTATAAGAAAGCATAAGCAACTTGAAGTCTGTTCTACAAAAAAACAAAACAAAAAAAACAATAAACAACAACAACAACAACAAAACCCACAGTGAGCTGGATGATCACTTTGGTCTGTGAGCAGATAAGGAGCCACCTTGGCGGTCTGATCCCCCTCAACAGCTCCAAACAACAAGAACATGTACAGTCGTCCTCAAATGTATTCATCCCCTTCCATTAATGAAAAGGCAAAATTCACAATAGTCACTCAAATAACTAGAAACTGAAAAAAAAGAAATAAGAAATGAAAATCTGCTAAATTATAATTTAGTGAAATAAGACATTGCTTTTGAATTGTGGTGGAAAAGAGTAATAATGTGGAAGGTCTCCACCATTGTACCAATGAACATGTCCAAAAGGAAATAGCTCATAACCAGAGATGAAGTAAAGAAGCATCCACTCGTTGTAGTTCTGCACAGGCTGAAAAGAATACACAAGAGATGACATGTGATTGTATTTTTTAATGTGTGTGTGAGGAATAAAATATCAAAGACAGATGCTGTCTCTCATACACTTATTATTTCTCTGCACAATCACGTGTGTGTGCTAAAACATAACCTCCTTGGTGCACATATTGTTAAATGCTCATTGTCCTTTTTCCATGTCTTTTACTGATTAATTGCGAAACACTATATTTGCACCATGTTGTGGTCAGATGGACCTACCACGACCTACTGACCTTTTTTGGTATTACTATAATCTGTAGTCTGAGTTTGTGAAGGCAGATATCTTAATATCAGCTAGATTGGACCCCCACCTCCACCCAAAAGCAAAAAAAAATCAGGCTCAGGATTATTTTTCACTTTAAGCCCTGAAGTAAATATACTTAATTACTTCCTACAGCTGAATGCACGAATGCATATAATTATGAATTTACATCACACAAACCAGGACTACAAATAAAACAGAGCAATGTGTTAGATCACAGTCAGAGGGGGGTTCTGGCTGCTTGTTTCTGCAGCTGCGCAGTTGTGTGGTTTTACCACAAGAGGGAGACATTTACAAGCACATTTCTAGTCAATGGGGAACGTTGACAGCCAAAAAAATAAAATTAAAAAAGCCAAAAAGCTTCATATAAACAAACAAATGCATAATAATAATAATAATAATAATAATAATAATAATAATAATAATAATAATAATATTAAATTAATTTCCTAGTCACAGGAGTACTCAGTCATTTTATGGACAGGGAAATTGTCAGTATTTGTCAAATGAAATCATTTAACATAACTTAAATTAACATCAAGAATATCTTATATTTGTATTTTACAATAATTTCATATGAAAGAATATTATACAGCAAATAAATAGCAAAAAACGATATCAAAATAATCTGATTTATAGACTGTATTCATTTATTTCTGATGATGATGATGATGATGATGATGATGGTGGTGGTAGGCCTACTGGATGTGTCTTCATGGAGTCTACACTTGGTTTTCTTAGACTCTGCAACCAACTGTGTGAGTTCAGGCTGCGGGTGAAGATTTTGTGTATCGCCAAAAAAAAGCGTCTGGGACTGGAGGCAACGCGGCGGGAGGTAAAAGACCAGTGACTTTAGGTTGCCCTTGAGGTCTGATACACATAAGAGTGTTTTTTTCTTAAGATCACCAGTAAATCTGTATTAATTTTGACCAGAACCACTTAAAAAGAATCGTTAAAGCGGATTAATCAAGCTGGTCCTGTTTAATGTCTCCCGTTAATTAGTTTGTCAGCAGTGTTTTAATATCGCCTAATGACTTCATATTTCACTGATGACATTCAAGGGGTGTTAAAAGAGGGGAAATGGCCCATTCAGGATTCAGTTCTTTCGCTTAAGACGCCCTCAATGAATAAGACAAGGTCACGGAGGCCTAGTCTTTAGGGAGAGATACATTATCAGGGGATGGGGGTGGGAGAAATCCCATAGAGGAAGCTCTCTCCCCTCTAAAACAGCATGACGGGCACAATGTGATACAGTTCTGTCTTAGAACAATACATTGCACAGGGAATTCATGATACAGCTTAGGGCAGCCACACTGTATAGGATAGCAGGATAGCCCCACAGTGTACAATAATACTGACACTGGGGACTAATGCCTGGTGCTTTTTGGATGGGAGGAGCGAGACTGATTGTTTCACTGTTTTTTATGGTGTGTTAATAACAACTGCAACAGTTTAAGTGTTTATTAAGCATTAAGATAAAACACATATGAGAGGAAAACAACCGTCCAATATGAGAAGTTAGACCTTTTCCATCTTCATCAGCACTTTCTGAAGCTTTCCAAACAAGAACAAAGAAATCAGAAATCGTAAAGTTGTAGCTCTCAGTATTGAGGACACGGCATTTTCTCTGTGATGAAAATCCTATGTTAAACAAAATGCTCAATGGAGGCTAATGGATCCCGAACAAGTCCATGCACTGCTTCCAAAATGCTTTGTTTGACAAATCAATTTTCCCATAACCCGGTGAGGAGAAAAGTGATGTGGATTGATCGCCCCCACTGACTTTGTTTCCAGAATATTGTTTGATGGCTGGATAGATTAATTGGTATGACATTTGAAAGCCTTCTCTTGACTGTCAGCATCCAGGCCTCCGTACGCCAATCGAACCTCGGACTAATTGTTTCCTCTATAATACCTCAATTCACAAATTAGAGACGGTGCCTCTATAAACTATTCCCAATGTAAGACCCCCGCACAGCTCCACGCTGCTCAATCAGACGTGGGTTTGAATAGGGGTGATGCTGCGCTGATAAGATAGAGTGCATTAAAGGGCATCACCCGAACTGCTGCGCCAGCACATCTTCCTCTCGGCACAGTACATCTGAAATATACAAATCAGATCCCGGCAGCTGCTCCAGTAAACAGGCTCTGGACTCATCAATCTATAGCAGTTCATAGGATGTGAATCTTTGTTAGGAACCTAATTTGAATTAGGACTATTACAGCGAGGAAGGCAAAGGGAAAACCGTCTAAATCAGTGACCTTGAAAGCGTCGGTTATGTGGACGTGCAGGGCTCAGATTTGCTCTGTAAATGTATTTTAATGTTCTTGCATGTGACGAGAAGTCTCAGATCCTCTTTATGATAAGGCTGCGTCATAGGAGACAGGTCGGTTTGTCACAGCAGAAAAACTAAAGGTGTAAACACAAAAAATCAAACGGTGATGGTCGAATTCCATTTAGCTGCTTCACTGACACAATCTGCTGGTGTGCATGAATGGAACTGAGCCTTTGTTAACGTCTAGATGTTTTGTTTACAGTGTGGAAAGCGTCGCGATGAGGATGCACACCGTGATGAAGGCCATCACACACGTCAACCACTTTAAAGTTGGAGTCAAACGTGTGGAGTATAAAATAGTGTTTTTTGGGATTGGTTTGGTACTGACTTCTCTATAAATAAAACAATCAATTATGTTCCAACATATTGAAGTTAAAGCAGTAATCTAAGCATTTGTATTAAATGAACACCCACCAAGATGTTTGAAATGAATCGTTTAAGTTTAATTTCTTGTATATTATGCAGTGTATTGTCCTTAGTTGGCTCAATAAACAGAGGAGAATATTAACAACTTCATCCAGAACCAAAGCTTGTGCTTCCTCTCTGGCTGTCTGTAGTAAAGAAAATGAGGCAGTTCTCCAATAACTAAAGATAGCCTCTTCAGCCATAGTCTCTGATACTGAAGCCAGATCACTTGGGAGTAAAAAACAAACATGGAGACAAAACTAAAAGCATCAATGGTTTGTTATTTTTCTATATAAAAAGGAACAAATTTCTCTAAATCAAACCCGACCATAGTCGGCGGCGGTATCTGCCCTCCACGTTTCATCACCATTTATTTATCATTCACAATGACTAATTGCCTGACTTGACTTCAATTTTGTGGGCCGGGCTCGGCACACAGCGAGCTGCTCAGACGCCCTCCTCCCTTCAGTCCTCCCTATCACCCCAACACACCCACTTGCCTTTGAAAAACTGTAATTGAATGAGTTTATGTCGTCAAATTGATTAATCATATTAATTTGTACTTATTAGTGGGATGGTTGAAAGCGATGACAATTAGATTAATGAAATTAGTTAATTCTTCCTACCCACGCCATACTCCCAACTATAACGAACCCCCAAAAAGAAAAAAAAAAAAAAAACGCATAGAAAAGGGAGACTGTTATGACAAAATTGGCAATCAAGATTCGGCTGCTAATTGAATGTCTGCTTTTATTAATGATGAGGTTTATAAAAAGACCTTGAGAAAGGAATATTAATTGATTAATCAAAGTGCACCAAATTAAGCGGGGAGTATACAAAGCAGAGGGCTGAACGCTTCCCCTCATGTTTGATTGTGTCTTTCACAGGATGAAAACATTTTACCTGTTTGAGAACCAACAAACTGACATCTGAGTCTACAGCAGCTGGTTTGTTTTTTTGTGTGAAATCTTTGTGAGAAAAGTTTCGGCTTTGTTAATATGTGCTTAATACACAGATGATTCTCTTTTAGGATGTTTGCTTAAAGTGGGTGTTTTAAACATGTGACTTGCTATTTTGAAATGAGCACAGTTATGCCAGCTGCAGATTACACTCTGGAGAAAAGAGCCTTTGCTTGTCAGTGACGTGTTGAGATGATGAAGAGGCTGCGTTGTAGTAAAACGTTGGCTCTCCAGACTTTACAGTAAAGCCTTGGAAGTTGCCTGATCACAGACCGGTCCTGCAGGGAGCCACGTGTCCCAGCAGGGCCGCGGCCATACATTCATCATGCCTGTTTGCCCGTAGTGGAAAAACAAAATATATGTAAATATAAGTAAACGGGGTGCGAGATCTCCCAGGCCGATAGAGCGCTTTGAATTTCATTATGCAACAAGCTGTCCGGCCGTTATAAACGAGGCC